AGTCACTAAGCCCGCGCGTAGCGCGGGTTTCAGCTAGTATATATAATTATACACTCCATATATATAGCGTGGAGGCCATAGAAATACGTATATTAGGTACTAGCGGGATACCCGGCGTTGCCCGGGAAAATCAGTGGCGTTACTCAGTTGGTGACCGCTTGGTTGAAAGGAAAATACCCAAAAAAATCTAACTATCTATCTATCCATGCATCCATCTATGCATCCATCCATGCATGCATCCATCCATGCATGCATCCCTCCATCTCGTTCCATGCCATCCCATCCCATCCCATATCCCATCCCATTCCATCCTATCCCATTCTATCCCATGCCATTCCATGCCATGCCATCCCATGCCATCCCATCCCATCCCATGCCATGCCATCCCATCACATGGCATCCCATGCCATGCCATGCCATCCCATCCCATCCCATAACATGCCATCCCATCCCATCCCATCCCATGCCATCCCATGCCATCCCATCCCATCGCATCCCATCCCATTCCATGCAATCGCATGCCATCCCATCCCATCCCATCCTATCCCATCCCATTCAAAACAGTAAAAAACAATAAAAAATCACATGATAAAAAACATTAAAAATACAAAAATAAAATTAAAAAGTAAAAAATTTAAAATAATACATGCTAAAGTGGTAAGTAAGGGGGAAAAAATGAAAAAAGGGGAAAATAAGTTTTCCAGCTGGGACTCGAACTCGGAATCCCGGTGTAGGAGACGGATGTTCTATCGATTATGCAACTACGCCATATATACGCGGGTATACGCCATGGATTCACACGTACGTAATGTTTTAATCTGTACGCACCGCCATCTATTGATGAATAGAATTTTTTTCATTTTTTAACTTTTTAACTTTTAAAATTTTTGTTTCTGCCAGAACCACCTCCCAGACGTGCTGATTCTGAAAATATCTTTAGTTTTCCTCTAGGTTGCAGAGTTCTCTAGTTATGCGAGTACGAACTAATTCGGCTGAACAACTTTATATATATAGATATACAGAGCGAGTATCCGAACGAATAAGGCAAAGGCGGTTAATGCAATCTGTACTACAATTTAGATCATATTTGAAAATATTTAACAAGCCTATGCATATAGAAGGAGATAGATGGTGTTGGATGACAGATAGAAGGATAGATGGATATATAGCCATGCGGTGAAACATGCAGGAATGCAGGCACGTAGCCAAATAGACTGACAGACGGACGGACGAACGAACGGACAAACGGACGGACGAACGAGAAATGGGAGGGTGAAAAAGAGACAACTTCAAAAGCATTCTCCATGGGCTAGCCAATGAATGTTTGCAATGTTATTGTACAGAGAGCAAGTAGTATATTATAATGTCATATGGTATCAATTAGTCCTATGCACCGGAGAAACGCGACACGTGTATTGTGTGGTTTCGCTAGGGGAATGAGCTAGAGTCGATACGCGATTTTCTACGGAGAAATAGAGCGGTAATGGCTTTCAATAATGGTGAAAACGAAAGAAAAAAGAAAAAAACGATAAAATGAGAGGGAGAGGAAGAGGGAGAGGGAGAAGGAGAGGGAGAGGGAGAAGGAGAGGGAGAG